ATTTCTGACGGAGCGAAAGATCGAACTGATGGGTCATCCGCCGTACAGCCCTGATTTGGCACCCAATGACTTCTTCTTATTCCCACACATCAAAAATAAATTACGTGGACAACGATTTTCGACCCCCAAAGAAGCGGTTGATGCATTCAAAACGCATGTTTTGGAGTTACCTCAATCAGACTGGAAAAAATGCTTTGAAAATTGGTTCAAACGCATGCAAAAGTGTATTGGTCATCATGGAGAATATTTTGAAAAACAATAAAACTAATCTCGATCCTACATATTTGTTTTTTCATAATTAGGCCAGAAATATAAATAGCAACCCTCGTAATTGATATATATATATATATATATATTCTGACCCCCATAATTTGGGGGTCAGAAATTCGAATCCGTCGGAAAAAGGTACGTTTATTCAGAGAAAGAACATTTTTGTGCGATTTCGTAACTTAAAATATATCATTGATTAGAATATTTAAGGTCACCCCCTCAAACCATGAAGATTCGATCTACTTCAACGAATCCTTTCGCCGAGAAATCATTTCTTTTCGATGCTATATTGCAAAACAAATTATAAATTAAAATACTTTGATTAGTTTTTTTAAATCGCTTTGTTTTTAAAGATTACACGCTGCAACTTTGTCAATAATGAAGAGGCGTATGGTTTCATGCAATTTAGAGCATATTTAGACGATCTAAAACAAACACAAAACTTCACACGAGTTTGGACATATTTGAATCACGCATAACATTGATGATTATTGAGACAAAATAAAACGACGCCGTTTTTGGATTTCACTCAAAATTTTGGTTTGGCACCATATCATCAAAGTTAAAAATACGGGTACGGTAGGAATATTTATCATAGCTGTATCGACCAGATGCTGGACATTGAAGGAAAAGAAGTAATCAAAATGTGTCTAGATTGACCCCAGAAAATCTCTTTAAATACATCTAATTCTTTAACAACTACATGGTTACACTTACTTTTCTGGCACTTTTGAGAATTCCAGCACAAGTAAGTAGGTTTCTCGGTTGATTTTGGACAAACAGTGGGTGGTCCAGGACAAGTATTGGGACAATCTGCAGACTTTTTATTTCCCTTGATGAAATGACCACCTTTACCCTCCTTGGCAATCAGATCCCACTCAATTGTTTCCACATAACAAAGTCCTGGATTTTTCTCGATTCTCACAGAACCTCTTAGAATGTCTGTGAGATTACTGAGCCCAATTTCCTGGAGCTGATACAGCTCGAACACGACCAGCGCGTAGTTATGGAAGAGCTCGTTGCCTCTTATCACAGCTAAATTCGGGAAGAGTTTACCGAGAGAGTTCAGACCAAAAGCTCTGTAGACAAGCAGATAGTCGGTTATCTCCACCAAGTTCGGAAAAGAAAGATAATCATAGTCCTGTGCTTTTCCGTGGTCGATGAGTAGAATCTGTAGAGATCCCTCGATGACAGTGCAGTTCTCAAGCTTCTTGAAGTTCTCAACTTTGTTCCGGATATCGATACTTCTGCATACTGAAAAACACAAAAATATTTTCTGTGAGAAAAATAATAATTATTCAGTTTCGTATACTATATTATAAGTATTCGCTTAGCCCAAATTATTAAAATTTTTAACACATCAGAATGTTTCTATTATTTCTCATCAGAGTCGGAAGGTGTGAAAAAGTGGTTACAGAAACGAACAACAAAAGAAAAACCAACCTTAATAGTGTCTGAGGCATAACCAAAACGAAGAGTTGAGTAATCAGATAGAGTTGTTATAGTTCTTACGGGCCATTCACACTTTATACGAAACAAATTATGTTAGAATATGCCTTTCACAATGTTATTATTTTTTTTGTAGAGACATATTTTTATTCGTAATGACAACAACAACTTTACATCCGCTATTCTCGTTTGTAACAACATTAAGTCATTGATTTTAGATGGATTGTTTACATTCAGATGCCGATAACGACAACTATTCTTTCATTTTCATAAGTACTAAAATATGTAATCCTAATTTAAAAGACATTTATATAGTATCATTTTTCCCAAACTTCAACGCATTGGTTCTATTTGTTCAGTAACGCTGTTTTAAGGACCCGGATGGTTGTCGGAGCGGCTTTACAAGAAGCGATCACCCTCAAAGGATTTCAGGGATGTCTGGTGATCTGCATGGTTAATCCATCTGGAGATAATCTTAATTTAGTAGAAAACCGTCGCCCATGTAAGTTATATATAGACGCGCATAGTTGCCCATGAAAATGAAACCAGGATCAACTTAACTCTTGAGAGCACAAATATGTGACTGCAAGAATTCAGCTGTAATACCTTTCATTTATTACAGAGCCCTTTTTAAAGAAATGAAGGGGTGAGCGACCATTCAACATGAGGACCTATGCCATCAAACCTCTGCAACGATGATGGTCGATTCCTTAAGTAATAGAAGGCAGATAGCGATCCTCTGCATGGTTCTCGAAAGTAGGAACCAAGACTGGTCGTGCAATAATACCTGCCTAAGAAATTGGCGTGACCATTATAGGAACGAAAAGTTGATGGTATGGACAGGCAACATGTTGGATGGAAGTACACTTGTCCATGTCTTTGAAAGAAGCATTGTTATTAGATACGGTTTTGGAGCTATTTCTGCCTTTATCAAGGGTACAGTTGGCCTTGAGACAATGAATGACCACACAAAACTAATCTAACCAATTAGGACCAATTTGTAATGGTCCCAAATTGTGATCAATTTGTTTCACTTCCCCAATTTCGGAGACCAATTAGGGAGGTGGAGTGCAACTAGCATTTACCTTCCGATAACCATCCAAGGCTGAAATCAATGTTGCTGAACGAGTGGAGCTAATTTTCCAATAACTGCCTTATTTTCAGAGTGAACCTGTATTTCGATAAAAAGGGATTACACATATTTTGTTGTTGTTGTTCGATTTGATAACTACTGTTTCATACCGTACAACTACGGTAAATATAACACACGATCGAGCGTACGTATTATAAATGGAAGTAAAGCATTCCTGCAACCTCCCATTGTGCGCCAGGAGGTCATGGAGGTTAAGGGCTACACAATTTCGTGACCAACGACAAAATTGCGCCAATGTGTTCAGCGCTGCGCACAGGCTACCTTTACTTTCCAGACAAGATGGTACCCATCGATCTGAAGCTATGTAATAGAATTATCCATGTGCCTACCGAATTTCATCAAATTCTGCCCAGTAGTTCTGAAGATATTTGATCAAATCTGAAAATTTTCTTAATTTTGAGCACTAGCCGTATATAGTTTAAACAATTCTCTCTTTGAAAAAAAATAAGCAAAAATAATTCGAAATTTCTCAAGCATTCCACGTAATTTTTGTAAAGAGAGTGGAGATTTTAATAATTTCAACTAACATGTTCATCCTTTTTGATTAAAAAATTTCTTACGATATAAGAGCTGAGTTACCATTTTAGAACTTTACAAGCAAAAAATAACGTCATTCAAAAGTTATTAAGACTTCCTTTAGTTGACATAAGGGGAATTCTTTTTTTCAACTTTCTGCTTCACGTAAAAAATAAATGAGATGTTGTTTACTAGTTTTGAAAGGAAGGTAGCTTTCTCAATACCAGCGAGGAGCAAAATGTCGATAAGTAAAAAAAAAACATATTCTCATGGAAAATGGATAGGTTATTTTAGTGCAGACTTTGGAATAAAAACAACTTAATTACCCCTACATATCCACGTATATTCGTAAATCCCACGCTGAATAAAGAAAAAAAGATTTTATTCTCTTTTTTTTACTTTTTTCTGAAGTGAAAATAGCAGCGAGATAAAATAAATGATAGAAGATTATCAGTAAAAGATTACCAATAAAAGATAGAACTATCCAAAATAAATTAAAAAAGTATTTTACAGATTCGGAAATATGCCTAACTAAACGAGCGTATAGCTTGATTTCACCCTTACCAGCAAAAATATACAAATCACTAAGTCCCTCTTATGCTTAAGTAAGAAAGGTGCATATCCNCCCCCCCCCCCCTAGTTTTTCATATTTTACTTCCAATATTACTGCAGCAATCTAATTTTAGAATTAAATAACTTTTAAAAAAAAAGAAGCAACTTGTATAAAACAAAATTTATGTTTCAATTTGTTTCATAAAATTTTGAATGGGTTAATCTCTAGGAATATTTTGTGTTTTCCCTTTGTCGTTAAAATTTTTGATCTCCAAAACATCTAGAAGAAATTTTTTTTCAAACTTTTTCTCTTCCCAAACCTGGTTTTCATTAAAAAATTGAAAATTTCCAAAGGGAAATTTTTTATAACATTATTTATTTAAAAATATGAGACTTTAATGTCTTACGTAACCAACCCCTCTTACCCCCTTGTCATCAAAAATACACATATCCCAATGCCACCCACCATGTTTACCTAATATTTAATAATACCCTTATGTACTAGCGCCAATAAAAAAAAAAAATAGCTCATTGTTTCTATTATTTACTTATACTATAATTTGGAAAAAAATATGATTTTAAAAAATATGTTTTAAAATTTCAATCATAAATTCAGTTAAAATTTATTTTTTAATAAAAAATAGTTGATTTATTAGCTTTAAATAAATTATTACGATCGTAAATATAAATTTATGATTCGCTCATGTTGGAAATCAAGAAACAGATATACGGTTTCGTGATTTACAGGTAAATATAAAGTATGAATAAAGTCTTGAACGGATGTTTAGATGCAGTTCAAGAGAGGGATATCGGATATACGAGTTTTTCGGATAACTGGAGTTCTGAGTGTAAGTTTAAAACATACACATTGAGTGATTGCGCTATGCAATTAAAATTTCTCAATTAAGGAGCGACTTCGTATATTTAACTTATTTTTAGAAACTTATTGATCTGTTTACAAGTTAGATAAACTTTATTATTCCTTTACGACGGTTGGCAACAGATTTACGGTCTTAGAGTCGTTGCGCCAAACTTAGAGTATATATTTAGATCCATCTAAGATTTGTGTTGATAAGTTAATTTCCCCCAGCCCGATATATATACAAGTATATATAAGGACATAAATGAAGAGGAAAAATTTTTTTAAAGAAAAGGTACCAAAAATAAAAATTAATTTAAAAAAAATAATTAAAAAAGGGAGAAAAACAAATAAGAAAAATGTATTTCGTCGTCAGCTCACACGATTATATCGCAAATTACAGTGCTTTCTAATATTGTATTAATATAAATAAAGCCAAACATGTTAATACAATAGTGTGAGGAGCACACTATATATCATTTACTTAACTGACCCTCACGCAAAGTTTATTGACTATGAGAACTTTTGTAAGATATTTAAAACTTATTTTTTAATAACCCATTATAACATAAAATAAAAATTATAAATCTAGATATCAGAGTAATCTTTGAATGCATTGGGTATTTTTTCAACTTCTATTTTAACCCACTAAAGTCGAATTTCCAAATTATTTAGTTAAATGCTTTTTAAGAATGTTTGTAGAGAAAAATACGATATTAACATACCTGGAAACAAGGCGCCGGCTCAGAATAATATAAAAGGAGGTGCAACCCTCTAACAAACTACACCCCCCCCCCCACCAAAAAAAAATTTACAATTTTCTGTTATTGCATTTTGGTTTGTTATTACATATACTTTCATCTGTTAATTTTTTTCAAGATATATTTCTTCATCGTTAACAAGATATTTAAAAAAAAGTACGAATTTCTTGTACTTTCAAATTTTGCCACGAGAAACTGTACTGATGGCGCTGGCATAGCTACTGACTTTGAAACACAAATAACTACAAACAGTGGTTTCGCATACTAACGTGTTTGTGCACGCTTAAGATTGGTATTTATTGTGTTGATGAAGTTTTACAGTTGTGAGAAATCAGTTTGTGTTATACACCTTTGTTAAACTATATAACAAATAGAAAACATAATATTATTAATATTTTAGACGCCCGGTGGCTGAGTTGAAGCGCTTCGCACTCCCGTGCCACAGGTCCTGGGTTCGATCCTCGGACCGGGCAAGGTTGACTCAGCCTTTCATCCCCTCAGTGGGTCGATAAATGAGTACCAAGCATGCTTGGGAACTAAACACTGGGAGTTTCGCGTTCGGCTGACCACCTAATCGGAACATCTGCTCCTGCACCCTGGAACCCAAGGTCTAGAAAACTGAGATGGGCACAGTAGGCCTTGGCTCTCTTTGGGCTGTCGTGCCACTGAGTCTGAGATGAGAATTTATATTTTATTAAATGAAATTTAGAAATATAGCTTAGATATCTGCTAAGTTAGTGCATGCTCAGTGTGCATAAGAAAAGAATCAAAGATGACTCAGAATTCATTGAAAAAGTTATAAACAGATTTGGACAGCAAACAAGACGATTACAATTCTTGTTCGATTAAACAATTTTTTAATTGTTATGTATCAATTATTTAATTATTTGTTTTTGAATAAAAAAAATTAAAAAATTTTTTTTATAACAAAATTATTTTTCTGTATCGCTTTAATTGTTTTTAA